TTTTAATATAGTATTGATTCAGCAATTTTAATTAAAAAAGTTTCTCTATTATGTAGTGTATTTTTACTACAAACAATCCTATTGGCTAATTTTTCAACTTCTAAAATTCTTTGATTTTAAAAACCAACTTTTTTGCTTCTATAATTAAAAAAAACAACAGGTATTTTGAAAATATATAACTACATAAGTCAATTCTTCAAGTAAAGGCTATTTTAATATAACTTTTTCCTTCTCTTTCTCACAGTAATGTTATGAATTTTTCTTTAATAAACATGTACTGTACATCTTTATACTGTATATTTTACATACTGTTATATATAGTAACAAAACTGATATCTGTTTTTCTGACTCAATAGATACTATTATGTATACAATTCTCTTGTAAAGTAAAAACTAACTTATAAAATTACATAACGGATCAATCTTAAATGAATATTTTTATATTATCATCATCAGTCAACTATTTATTGATTCTCTAATAAAATGTTTATCAAGCAGATATAATTTCCATGTTCAATTAGTTTACTTATCAAATTTGGAAACATTCTGGTTGTTAGAATGATTTTACAAAAGATTAAGAAATAAAAAAAAGAAGAAAAATGAATCAAAGTTGCAAGATTACTTTCATCTCACCTGAATTTTTACTTGCACGTCTGAAAAAACCATCATCATCAGAATCACTATCATCACTTGAATCTGAGAAAAAATCTTTCTTCTTACTTTTATATTTTGGTTCTTCTATTAAATAGAAAAATACTGTGAATTAAACAAATCATTGGGTTCAACTTGATTATAATCATGAATTTTCAAATTATCTAAGGAAAACAATCAGTAATCTATTGACCTTTTACATAAAATTGTACATTGATCATTTGAACATTAAATTATTATACAAGGTCTGTCCGGAAAGTTTATGAACTTTACAAATAGAAGTTGTTTGCATTTACCTAGAAACTAGACGATTTTGTTGCCTTTGAAGTAGTCCCCTCTTGAGTCTATGTACCAAATTCAGCATTTCTGCCATGAAAAGAACANACTATCATAAAGTAATGAAATTTGTTTAATATGTAATCAATTAAATTGATAAAGATTTTTCTTTTATTTCATTTCTTTTTTGTTTTTTTTCCTCCTTACAAGTATTTTAAAAAATGAAGTGCATATGTTACTGTGAAAGACCGAAATTAGAGAATGTCGATATTCTCCGGTGAATGTCGACACATACAAAATAGGTCGGTTAAAGACCGAACATTTGGTTATATTACTATACATTCGAACAATCACCGGTGTATGTCGACAAACACAGATAAGCTGATGTGGACAGAGAGGCGACAGTCTGTCAATACAAGTCCCTGATCTCGACCGTGGCTGTACAAATCCCCAAAACGTGTTGGCGGTTGTTGTTGGAATAGAAGACTCTGACTTTTATAAATTAGCAAACAAAAATGGTACCCTCAAGCAGCTTTATACCCATAATCAGTCAGTGGCCGGATGGCTGAGCGGTCAAGATGGCAGCCAACCACTCTGGGGGACCCGGGTTCGAATCCGAACGGGTCGAAAAATCCCCAGGAATTATTCGGAGGAGGTCTGTTCGGATATGTCGGGCCCCGTCCCTCACCACCTGGCAGCCCCATTGTGGGCCTGGCCGAACCCATAATGGGATTGCAAAAAGAGGCCCTCCTAGTGCCCACAAGGCGGAAAGAGTTAAAAAAAAAACCCATAATCAGTTTGTAATTTGTAAAGAAAAGTTACTTTCTATAGATGAGATTTCTTCTCAAGAAATATCACTGAGAGAAGCAGCTGCAGCTAACTCGAAAACTGGAGGGCAAGGCTATACACGCTGTCATTGCAAAAAGAAGTGTTCTACGAATAAATGTAGTTGTAAAAGCAAGGGACTCTTGTGCAATTCAAAGTGCCATAACAGTTTAAGTTGTTGCAATAAATAAGATTCTATAACATTAAAATAAGATTGCATAACATTAATCATATAATTTATGTGTAAACTTATTATTGTATTATTTTCTTTAATGATTTAGAATGTACTGTTCATTTTAAGTTCAACAGTTTATTTACATGTGCTTTTACTTAAGCTTTCTCCTATTTTGACATATTAAAAAGTTGCATTTTTGTCTTAACATAATAAAAATATTTTTATTCAACATTCACCCAGTGGCATACCGTGGGTGTCAGCCGCCCGGGGCGGAGGAAAATTTCGCCCCCCCTTATTTAGGTATTTCAATTTATAAGACCAAAATTCAGTTTTGTCACAGAACAAGCAATGAAATTCGGTGGTAGTGCAGCAACCTGTTTAAAATAGTTCTATTGGATATTAGTGGTGTATATGAACGCGAATGAATCGTACAAGCGAATAAAAAAAAAGTCAACAGGTTTCGCAGGATTTCCTTGGATTAAAAATTACTAGTTCACCCGGACGGTGAGCCAATTCTCGGACTGTCCGGACGATAGCACTATCGTAGGCGCGATGCAAGTATAGATTAGGATGGTTCAAATTTTTACAAGACATTATTATTATTTATTGTGCAATTTTGCCGCCCCCTAAAAAGTGCCGCCCGGGGTGGGCCGCCCCTGCCGCCCCCACTACGGTACGCCACTGCATTCACCATCAGTGCATGCTGATTGTCGACATTTGCCGGTGTAAGTGAGAAATAATGATATTTAGCAAATATTTCGTACATACACGAAATGACTGTGTGAATGCTGACATTCACCGGAGAATCTCGACATTTGTCAGATATCGGTCATTCACAGTAACACATACATTATTCATGCACCCCATTTTTTGTTGACTTTTTCATTTATGAAAATTGTTTGAAAAGTTTGGCAAAAAAAACAAGTTAAACACCTTTTTCCAGAAAAAAAAAAATCAGTTTTATTTCTCAATATAGTCTGCATTGAGGGTTACACACTTGGTCCATAAAGTTTCCAATTTTTTCATCCTACCAGAAATAAAAGTTTTGTGAAACTCTGCAAAATGACACACTCCATTTAATAAAAATTTCTTTCTACTAAGCAAATTTTTAAGTTTGGGAACAGGAAGAAATTGAACAGAGGCAAATCTAGGGTATAGGATGAATGAGAAAATAATTTTAAGCTGAATTTGTGGAACTGTACATTGTCCTGGTGAAAGAGCACTCTTTTTGTACACTAATCTTGGCTGATTTTTTTTGAATTCATCTTTCAAAACAATGCAACTATGCCATTAATAGGTTACTGTTATTGCTTTCCCTTTTTCCAAGAAGTTGATCAAAATTATTCCTTGGTAAACCCAAAAAATAGTTGTGATCACCTTTCAAATCAAGGCTGCCCAAACCCAGGCCCGCCAACACATTTGAATTTGCCCACCCACAGTAGTGGTCGGCTGTCACCATGCACAATGTCGTGCTACCAATAATGCCAATGCCACGTGATTGGTCGATTGCAAAATGAACTATGACTTAAGTATTAACAACGGTGAGCCACACCACTGTTAATATCTAACCTATGCATTTATTACACTTGTTCTATTAGTTTTGAGTCGACTTTTGTATATTAAAATTAAATTGTTGTCACCAAATATTGAAAAATTATTAGTTAATAAGCCCCTTCATAGGTCTCATTGATGTATTTTTTATTAGGTATTATTATTAAAAAATGTGCAACTTAAAGCTTTGTTTGATTCAAATATATATCCATTTATAGAAGAATCATGAGTGTAAGCAAGTATGATTCACTAGGTGGCCCACTGACTGACATGTAATTGAAATTATAGCCAGCCTCCAAAATGAATTGGACAGCCCTGTTTTAAATCAACAAAATAATCTTTGTCTTCTTTGGCATATTTTCACCAGTCATTGTTTACTGTCTTTACTCGGGTGTTACTTGGTGGATCCAAATTTCTTCAAATGGTCACAATTCAGCACAATGTCCTGCAATCACCAAACACTGAAGTGAAATGTCCTTTCAAATGCATTTTTTGGTTGACAGGCAGCAATTGTGGCACCCATCATGCACACAGCTTTTTCATGCAAGATACTTTTTACTTATTCAGTTGAGATACCTACAGTCTCATCAATCTCAATGCACTTACATAATCACTCAGTGGTCTTCCATTACAATACCATGGATTTTTTTCAATGATATTCTTCATGGAAACCTCAACTGGATAATCAGAGTGCACTTCATCTTCAGTGCATGTACAGCCATCTTTAAACCGATTTATCCAGAAATAAATAGTATTCAATGCTAGTGTAGAATCTCCATAAACGTCATCCAACTAAGCATTTATATGTGTTGCTGTTCACTTCAAATAAAAATGTTTTATTACTTTATTAACTCATTTTTTTCCATTTTTTTTGGAGCAAATGTGAAAGTAGTTGATTCAATAGTTGTCAAATGCTAATTATGCATCACATGTGGCTAAAACTTTGCAAGAGGTCATTTGAAGAAAGAAACTTGCCAACTGTGCTGCACTTAATGAACTGTAATACCATCTCAAAGAAATTTACCAAACTTCTCAAACAACACTTACATATGTACAGTACACAATATACATAACAAACCGCATTTATTGCAACCATAGATATGGTTATGATTTATGTAATATCAATTAGCATGTCCCAAAAAACCTGAAACATAGTCGTAATTATTGCTTATTGTTATCAGTTTGATATAATTACCATTAACTTCTGGTAATTAGACATTTTTAAGATGTGTTTTAAACTTTAACATGTGGCATTATAATACACAATCATTATTGGATATTAGTCAACCAGTTATTTAAAATGCTAAATAATTTAATTATTTCCTCCATAAAAAATAGCACAAAAAGTATCTACTTTATTGGTATCTATACCTTGATTTTAGTCTAGCATTGCAATAGGAACCAATATCAACTGAACAAGATGTAATACTGTACATTAATAATACAATAACAACATCCTAGAACTATGCCTTGACTTTGGCCCAGAATAGAATTCGCTACAATTCTTAAATATGTTACTTACTTGGAGGAAGATATCTTGCTAGTTTCTTCCAGTCACTAGCTATATGTTCAGCAACAAAATGCATGGCTTCGGGATCTATTTCACGAACTGAATCTGAAATTCATTTTATACACACATATACACTATTATACATAATTTTCTTTACATATATGTTTATTATTTTTATAATATATACCTTTTATTTCATCTGGTAATTTTCTCTTCGTACTTTCAGTAAACTGAGGACCAAATTCTGAAGGAGGATTTTTATTTTTCTTAATATTAATGTTTGATACTGCTGTGCGAACTTGTGTAAAGTTGTAACTGTTACCAATATGAATATTTCTACCTTTATGTATTAGTATGTTCTGTCCTAAATAATAAGAAGGTAATTTAATAGAGAAAGAAAACATTATTAAAAATTTATTTGTAATATTTCTACATTCATATTAAAATTTTCAATTAATTTTAGTAATTAAAGCAACAGTTTCTGCCATGGTCATAATCAAAATGATATGATTTGAACATCACAGCATGTCTGTTTTTGTTTTATAAAGGTCAATGCCATGCTAAGAATTAGCTGATCTTGTTATAATCTTACAGTAAAGCTGCTGTATTCCTTACTATTTCATATAATTTTTCTGTGGAAATAAAACAGCAAAATTAATTTAGCACACTGGAACTGTCACATTATTATTATTGGATTATATACATGCCAATTCTTCATTTTATTCGTAAGCCTTTGATTTACACTGATTTTTCTTTTGATTTTACATTTTATTAAAAAACATGTGGCCAGACTACTCTGATTGCTAGTACACTACCATAATTAAGTAACCAAATGGTGGTTAACACACTTGCCATCAATTGACACAATTTTGCATCATGTGATCTTCACATGATGCAGACTTACATCAATGGGTTGCGAACATAAGCTGAATTTGAATATAAACTGCTACTTGCATTTCAGTAAAAGTTTTAGTGAAAAACTAATAGTTTTAATAGTACTTTTGTTCAATTTTAGGTTTTTAAAAATATTAAATTATTGGTAAATATTAATTATCTATCATCATTGGATTCTACTATTACATAGCTGAGATGCCGTTTCATGCAATTGATCATTTAGTTCTTTAAATATGTTGTTCTTTTTCATTATTGTGTTGTAATTTTAGTCCTAATATAAGATCTAATTCTCATTGATGTTATTTAATTTTTTGTAAATACAGATGTAATTATCAAAAGAAGCCATTCAAGACAATTTTTAATTGAAAATATATTAAATCTGACACTTCTGGAAAATGTTTCTTCAAGAAAGAAAGTAACTGCCCCCCCAAAGATGGCTCAACCAATTTTCCTTTTTAAAGACAAGTATTAGTCAAATAATTGGCTATCTACCAGTAAATTTATAATTTTATTTATAAGACTGTCAATTAATTTGATAATTGATTTTGTTCTAACTAATAGCTTTTGCTAGAATTGTAAGTTCATGACATTCAAATCTAATTATATAAATCAGAATAAATAAATTTAATTATTTTTTAAATAAAAATTACACATAACAAAGTTTAAACAGAATATGAAATGCTTTCAAGTAAACTAGATAAAAGTTTTTTTTTGCTAAATTACTTTTAGACTTACAACTATATTATTCAGGATTCATATGGATCATAAAAATTTCCTAGAAATTCACAAAATTTTATTTTCCTTTCAAGAACAAAGTTACAAAAATCAAAATTTTTATGGAAATTTTTGAAAAATCTGATTTTAGTTCACTTTTTAAATACAATGTTGAAGTATTGAGCATTGATAACTAATTATGTTTACCATTTTCTCCATGCTAAATTTAATTCCATAAACTGAATAATTGTTACAAATAAAGTAAAATTATCTTCATGCTTGAATCAGATCATTGAAGTAGATTTTTTTAATCAGAAAAATTATTATTTTTTTGTGACAAAAAGCAAGTTCTTTTTAATATTGCAGTTCAAGTATTTAAAATGTCAATAAAAATTCAGTACTATTTGAATTTTCTGCACTAAAATTAAATTTTGGGATTCCAAAATGGGACTTGTGCTGTTCTGAAACTATCTGCAGCACTTGCATCTCTTGAAACAAGATCTGTTTTTTTCCAAAATTGAGAAGAAACAGATCTTATCTTATTTCCTCCAAACAGCATTAAACTGTTTTAATTAGTTTACATATCACTCACAACTTTCTGAAAATATATGCAAAGTGGCCAAAATTAAACTTCCCCTGTTCAAAGGCATTTGCAACTAAATCTAACAACCAGAACATTTCCAAATTTGGTAGGTAGACTAATTGGAACATGGGAAGCAGGATTCTAAAAAAATATTTCAGTACAAAAACTTTCAAACTGGGAATTCTGGCACCACTGTAGCCAAAATAGCTAATGCTTTGCACAATATTACAGTTATCACCTGTGTTAGTGGCAGTGGCAGGAAGACACATTCTTATAGATGACTGTCAACATGCACCTAACATTCCTTCAGATGCATTATGTTTAGCTACTGAGAACAGTGAGCACAGAATACAGTGTCTGTTCATCAAGAATGGTGACTTCATTGAACCAAATTCTATTCCATGTGAATAAATACAATGTCCCCAAATTAGATAGGAGGTTTCCAACAATACTAAGCTCCATGAATGTTCAGAATGACCATTCAACTGCTGATATTAACCGTTTTCTAGCTGTAATAATATTTTTAGTAAAATGCAATAAAAGTTTCAATTCATTATAATTATTGTTATTTATGTTTCTGTCCATTTTAATGATGTTTTTAAATTACAGCACCACACTTCTCCATTGATGAATTTTGGCTCTAAAATACTTTTTTTGCAAAATCCTGCATTGCATGTTCTGATTAATCTACTTATCAAATTTGAGAACAATCTAGCTATAAGATTGAACTGCAGACACTGCTGAACAGTGGAAATTTAAATATTGCCATCTTGTATTTTAAGATACAATGTTTAAGCAAAAATAAGAACTGTTACATTCAAGGCTTTATCAGTTGAATAGATGTAAAGGAGAAAGTATTTTTAATAGATTTTATTTTAATATAGTATTGATTCAGCAATTTTAATTAAAAAAGTTTCTCTATTATGTAGTGTATTTTTACTACAAACAATCCTATTGGCTAATTTTTCAACTTCTAAAATTCTTTGATTTTAAAAACCAACTTTTTTGCTTCTATAATTAAAAAAAACAACAGGTATTTTGAAAATATATAACTACATAAGTCAATTCTTCAAGTAAAGGCTATTTTAATATAACTTTTTCCTTCTCTTTCTCACAGTAATGTTATGAATTTTTCTTTAATAAACATGTACTGTACATCTTTATACTGTATATTTTACATACTGTTATATATAGTAACAAAACTGATATCTGTTTTTCTGACTCAATAGATACTATTATGTATACGATTCTCTTGTAAAGTAAAAACTAACTTATAAAATTACATAACGGATCAATCTTAAATGAATATTTTTATATTATCATCATCAGTCAACTATTTATTGATTCTCTAATAAAATGTTTATCAAGCAGATATAATTTCCATGTTCAATTAGTTTACTTATCAAATTTGGAAACATTCTGGTTGTTAGAATGATTTTACAAAAGATTAAGAAATAAAAAAAAGAAGAAAAATGAATCAAAGTTGCAAGATTACTTTCATCTCACCTGAATTTTTACTTGCACGTCTGAAAAAACCATCATCATCAGAATCACTATCATCACTTGAATCTGAGAAAAAATCTTTCTTCTTACTTTTATATTTTGGTTCTTCTATTAAATAGAAAAATACTGTGAATTAAACAAATCATTGGGTTCAACTTGATTATAATCATGAATTTTCAAATTATCTAAGGAAAACAATCAGTAATCTATTGACCTTTTACATAAAATTGTACATTGATCATTTGAACATTAAATTATTATACAAGGTCTGTCCGGAAAGTTTATGAACTTTACAAATAGAAGTTGTTTGCATTTACCTAGAAACTAGACGATTTTGTTGCCTTTGAAGTAGTCCCCTCTTGAGTCTATGTACCAAATTCAGCATTTCTGCCATGAAAAGAACATTTCCTGAAACACTTATTTTGATGGCATGATGCACAGCTCTACTAGTAAATTTTCCTTAATGGCATAAACAGGTTCAAAACAGCAACATTTCTGAGCAGATTTTAATTTGGAAAACAAAAAGAAACCTGCTGGGTTTAGTCTGGTGAATTTGGAGGTTAGAGAACAAGTGGCATTGAGTTCTTGGCCAAAATCTCTGTTATCAGCAGTATTGTGTGAATGAGAGCATTGTCAAGATGCTGTTCTCTCCAAGAAGTCAGTCTTTTCTTCCTCATTGCTTCACAAAGATGTTTCATCACCTCCAGATGGTATTCCTTATTTACTGTCTTCCTTTCTGGAAGAAATTTCTGTTGAATAACACCATCAGAATCAAACAAAACAGCAAGCAAGACCTCTAAATTTGACCAAACTTGTTGCACCTTCTTAGGTTATAGTAAAGATTTTCCCACCAATTGTGATGACTGGTCTATGGGTACAACATGGAAGCAATGTCTCTAGTGATGTTTTTCATGAACTTTTTATGAACTAGCGATGTTTTATGAACTAATGATGTTTTTCATGAACTTTTCATGAACTAGCCTGTTCCAGAACTCTTTACTCAATTGCACTCATTGAAATAAAATCAAAATGCAATCAACATGTCTTTACACAAATGAACATAATGTAACAACAAATAAAGATAAAACAAACTGCTTTTGGCAGATAGTACAAAAAGCTTGCTGGTAGAGAGCTGTGTAAGCTGCATTCAGATTCAATTATCGGTTGGTGTGTAATTTAAAATGTTTGCAAACTTTCGAGACAGATCTTGTACATTTAAATAATGTCTTATTGTTAATGAAAATGAACATTGTGTTATTGTTAAATGGATTACATCTGTATTACTAGATTCTTAACTTAAGAATAACACTAAAGTTGTTAAACAATTACACATGACAATAGCTTCTTATTAATAAAAGGCAATAAATTAAGGCAATTTTAAAATTCAAATAATTTATATATGACCAAATGTCTCATTAATTAGTATTTTATATGCTGTAAATAATTCCTGCATCTTCCATACAACAATAATTGTACACTATATAAAATACCTCAGACAATTTTTGTTCACTCTTCTTGCTAAGCTATATTTACCAAAATTAACTTACAGGTATTTTGATATTAAGACATTGGCCATATAACAATTATTTTTTGTATTGAAATGCTAATATTTTATTGGGCTGAGATTTTCAAAAGATTTCAAAAGATTCAAAAGATTTTTTTTATTGTAGACCTATAAATTCCTACTGGTGTCTTTCTGTCCTTCCTTAATCTCAAAAATGGAATTAGATATATGAAAGTTGAGACTAGATATGGAGAGGTTAGGAGCAGGAGGCCCCAATTAACTAAATATAAACTTCCAGTTTGGACAGGAAATCACACAGTAACTTTGTCCAAAAATTTCATAATACAGGATCAGTGTTGGATGGTCCACAGTGGCTGGTCCTTCCAGTAAGGACTGAAATCAATATGGTTTCAGATGTTTGAGAAGCATTTAAAAGAAGCCCAAGAAAGTCTATTTGAAAGACTTTCACAACAACTGCAACTGAAAATGCAACAGTGTGTTGTCAAAAACAATCATTTCTTCCCATACAAGACTAATACAGAATGCCCTAACAGAAACGAATATGGTTGCAAGAGTGGGATTTACTTAGACAAAGATCAATATAAGCAAGAAACAAAAAACATCAGCAAAAGTATTATCTGGTTGTGAAATGCTCATTTTCATCTTGATGGTTTTGTGAAGAAACTGAATTGATATTTTTGGGACACTTAAATTCTGCATCAGTCTATTGCTGCAAGTCTTGAAAACAGAAAAAATATTTGAATAATTAATACCTTTTATTAACACATGCAGACAATTGTATTGCAGATGGTCTGATAAACCATATTTGCCATCATGAATGTTGTTTTAAAAAACATTTAAGTTAAGTTCAAATAAGTAATTTTTTTTGGTTTTTTGGTGTCAATGGGGAGGGTTTAAGCCTGTGTAGCACTCCCCTTGTATCTGCCATTGTCAGCATTCATTTTTCTACATTCTATTTACGGTTAAGTAGATGAGCAACTATCTGAATATAAAGTTGTCCTGTGAAATAAGTGCTTAAAAGATAAAATCTCAGAATAAAATTATAAGTCTATCCCAAATTCATTGAAATCTCAAGCAGAATATCAAAGATCAATAGACATTATTCAGTTTTGGATTTTTTAACAAATTTTAAATATTTACTTTCATTAAACTAAGTTAATATAGTTATTCGGAAGAATAACTATATCAACTTACGTTGGTTTGCATAAGAATCTTGAAGTTGATTTTCTAGTATATACAGTTTATATTCNAAAAAAAAAATCAGTTTTATTTCTCAATATAGTCTGCATTGAGGGTTACACACTTGGTCCATAAAGTTTCCAATTTTTTCATCCTACCAGAAATAAAAGTTTTGTGAAACTCTGCAAAATGACACACTCCATTTAATAAAAATTTCTTTCTACTAAGCAAATTTTTAAGTTTGGGAACAGGAAGAAATTGAACAGAGGCAAATCTAGGGTATAGGATGAATGAGAAAATAATTTTAAGCTGAATTTGTGGAACTGTACATTGTCCTGGTGAAAGAGCACTCTTTTTGTACACTAATCTTGGCTGATTTTTTTTGAATTCATCTTTCAAAACAATGCAACTATGTCATTAATAGGTTACTGTTATTGCTTTCCCTTTTTCCAAGAAGTTGATCAAAATTATTCCTTGGTAAACCCAAAAAATAGTTGTGATCACCTTTTAAATCAAGGCTGCCCAAACCCAGGCCCGCCAACACATTTGAATTTGCCCACCCATAGTAGCGGTCGGCTGTCACCATGCACGATGTTGTGCTACCAATAATGCCAATGCCACGTGGTTCGTCGATTGCGAAATGAACTATGACTTGAGTATTAACAATGGTGAGCCACACTTCTGTTAATATCTAACCTACGCATTTATTACACTTGTTCTATTAGTTTTGAGTTGACTTTTGTGTATTAAAATTAAATTGTTGTCACCAAATATTGAAAATTATTAGTTAATAAGCCCCTTCATAGGTCTCAATGATGTATTTTTTATTAGGTATTATTATTAAAACATGTGCAACTTAAAGCTTTGTTTGATTCAAATATCTATCCATTTATAGAAGAATCATGAGTGTAAGCAAATATGATTCACTAGGTGGCCCACTGACTGACATGTACTGTAATTGAAATTATAGCCAGCCTCCAAAATGAATTGGACAGCCCTGTTTTAAATCAACAAAATAATCTTTGTCTTCTTTGGCATATTTTCACCAGTCATTGTTTACTGTCTTTACTCGGGTGTTGCTTGGTGGATCCAAATTTCTTCAAATGGTCACAATTCAGCACAATGTCCTGCAATCACCAAACACTGAAGTGAAATGTCCTTTCAAATGCATTTTTTGGTTGACAGGCAGCAATTGTGGCACCCATCATGCACACAGCTTTTTCATGCAAGATACTTTTTACTTATTCAGTTGAGATACCTACAGTCTCATCAATCTCAATGCACTTACATAATCACTCAGTGGTCTTCCATTACAATACCATGGATTTTTTTCAATGATATTCTTCATGGAAACCTCAACTGGATAATCAGAGTGCACTTCATCTTCAGTGCATGTACAGCCATCTTTAAACCGATTTATCCAGAAATAAATAGTATTCAATGCTAGTGTAGAATCTCCATAAACGTCATCCAACTAAGCATTTATATGTGTTGCTGTTCACTTCAAATAAAAATGTTTTATTACTTTATTAACTCATTTTTTTCCATTTTTTTTGGAGCAAATGTGAAAGTAGTTGATTCAATAGTTGTCAAATGCTAATTATGCATCACATGTGGCTAAAACTTTGCAAGAGGTCATTTGAAGAAAGAAACTTGCCAACTGTGCTGCACTTAATGAACTGTAATACCATCTCAAAGAAATTTACCAAACTTCTCAAACAACACTTACATATGTACAGTACACAATATACATAACAAACCGCATTTATTGCAACCATAGATATGGTTATGATTTATGTAATATCAATTAGCATGTCCCAAAAAACCTGAAACATAGTCGTAATTATTGCTTATTGTTATCAGTTTGATATAATTACCATTAACTTCTGGTAATTAGACATTTTTAAGATGTGTTTTAAACTTTAACATGTGGCATTATAATACACAATCATTATTGGATATTAGTCAACCAGTTATTTAAAATGCTAAATAATTTAATTATTTCCTCCATAAAAAATAGCACAAAAAGTATCTACTTTATTGGTATCTATACCTTGATTTTAGTCTAGCATTGCAATAGGAACCAATATCAACTGAACAAGATGTAATACTGTACATTAATAATACAATAACAACATCCTAGAACTATGCCTTGACTTTGGCCCAGAATAGAATTCGCTACAATTCTTAAATATGTTACTTACTTGGAGGAAGATATCTTGCTAGTTTCTTCCAGTCACTAGCTATATGTTCAGCAACAAAATGCATGGCTTCGGGATCTATTTCACGAACTGAATCTGAAATTCATTTTATACACACATATACACTATTATACATAATTTTCTTTACATATATGTTTATTATTTTTATAATATATACCTTTTATTTCATCTGGTAATTTTCTCTTCGTACTTTCAGTAAACTGAGGAGCAGATTCTGATGGAGGATTTTTATTTTTCTTAATATTAATGTTTGATACTGCTGTGCGAACTTGTGTAAAGTTGTAACTGTTACCAATATGAATATTTCTACCTTTATGTATTAGTATGTTCTGTCCTAAATGATAAGAAGTTAATTTAATAGAGAAAGAAAATATTATTAAAAATTTATTTGTAATATTTTTACATTCATACTAAAATTTTCAATTAATTTTAGTAATTAAAGCAACAGTTTCTGCCATAGTAATAATCAAAATGATATGATTTGAACATCACAGCATGTCTGTTTTTGTTTTATAAAGGTCAATGCCATGCTAAGAATTAGCTGATCTTGTTATAATCTTACAGTAAAGCTGCTGTATTCCTTACTATTTCATATAATTTTTCTGTGGAAATAAAACAGCAAAATTAGTTTAGCACACTGAAACTGTCACATTATTATTATTGGATTATATACATGCCAATTCTTCCTTTTATTCGTAAGCCTTTGATTTACACTGATTTTTCTTTTGATTTTACATTTTATTAAAAAACATCTGGCCAGACTACTCTGATTGCTAGTACACTACCATAATTAAGTAACCAAATGGTGGTTAACACACTTGCCATCAGTTGACACAATTTTGCATCATGTGATCTTCACATGATGCAGACTTACATCAATGGGTTGCGAACATAAGCTGAATTTGAATATAAACTGCTACTTGCATTTCAGTAAAAGTTTTAGTGAAAAACTAATAGTTTTAATAGTACTTTTGTTCAATTTTAGGTTTTTAAAAATATTAAATTATTGGTAAATATTAATTATCTATCATCATTGGATTCTACTATTACATAGCTGAGATGCCGTTTCATGCAATTGATCATTTAGTTCTTTAAATATGTTGTTCTTTTTCATTATTGTGTTGTAATTTTAGTCCTAATATAAGATCTAATTCTCATTGATGTTATTTAATTTTTTGTAAATACAGATGTAATTATCAAAAGAAGCCATTCAAGACAATTTTTAATTGAAAATATATTAAATCTGACACTTCTGGAAAATGTTTCTTCAAGAAAGAAAGTAACTGCCCCCCCAAAGATGGCTCAACCAATTTTCCTTTTTAAAGACAAGTATTAGTCAAATAATTGGCTATCTACCAGTAAATTTATAATTTTATTTATAAGACTGTCAATTAATTTGATAATTGATTTTGTTCTAACTAATAGCTTTTGCTAGAATTGTAAGTTCATGACATTCAAATCTAATTATATAAATCAGAATAAATAAATTTAATTATTTTTTAAATAAAAATTACACATAACAAAGTTTAAACAGAATATGAAATGCTTTCAAGTAAACTAGATAAAAGTTTTTTTTTGCTAAATTACTTTTAGACTTACAACTATATTATTCAGGATTCATATGGATCATAAAAATTTCCTAGAAATTCACAAAATTTTATTTTCCTTTCAAGAACAAAGTTACAAAAATCAAAATTTTTATGGAAATTTTTGAAAAATCTGATTTTAGTTCACTTTTTAAATACAATGTTGAAGTATTGAGCATTGATAACTAATTATGTTTACCATTTTCTCCATGCTAAATTTAATTCCATAAACTGAATAATTGTTACAAATAAAGTAAAATTATCTTCATGCTTGAATCAGATCATTGAAGTAGATTTTTTTAATCAGAAAAATTATTATTTTTTTGTGACAAAAAGCAAGTTCTTTTTAATATTGCAGTTCAAGTATTTAAAATGTCAATAAAAATTCAGTACTATTTGAATTTTCTGCACTAAAATTAAATTTTGGGATTCCAAAATGGGACTTGTGCTGTTCTGAAACTATCTGCAGCACTTGCATCTCTTGAAACAAGATCTGTTTTTTTCCAAAATTGAGAAGAAACAGATCTTATCTTATTTCCTCCAAACAGCATTAAACTGTTTTAATTAGTTTACATATCACTCACAACTTTCTGAAAATATATGCAAAGTGGCCAAAATTAAACTTCCCCTGTTCAAAGGCATTTGCAACTAAATCTAACAACCAGAACATTTCCAAATTTGGTAGGTAGACTAATTGGAACATGGGAAGCAGGATTCTAAAAAAATATTTCAGTACAAAAACTTTCAAACTGGGAATTCTGGCACCACTGTAGCCAAAATAGCTAATGCTTTGCACAATATTACAGTTATCACCTGTGTTAGTGGCAGTGGCAGGAAGACACATTCTTATAGATGACTGTCAACATGCACCTAACATTCCTTCAGATGCATTATGTTTAGCTACTGAGAACAGTGAGCACAGAATACAGTGTCTGTTCATCAAGAATGGTGACTTCATTGAACCAAATTCTATTCCATGTGAATAAATACAATGTCCCCAAATTAGATAGGAGGTTTCCAACAATACTAAGCTCCATGAATGTTCAGAATGACCATTCAACTGCTGATATTAACCGTTTTCTAGCTGTAATAATATTTTTAGTAAAATGCAATAAAAGTTTCAATTCATTATAATTATTGTTATTTATGTTTCTGTCCATTTTAATGATGTTTTTAAATTACAGCACCACACTTCTCCATTGATGAATTTTGGCTCTAAAATACTTTTTTTGCAAAATCCTGCATTGCATGTTCTGATTAATCTACTTATCAAATTTGAGAACAATCTAGCTATAAGATTGAACTGCAGACACTGCTGAACAGTGGAAATTTAAATATTGCCATCTTGTATTTTAAGATACAATGTTTAAGCAAAAATAAGAACTGTTACATTCAAGGCTTTATCAGTTGAATAGATGTAAAGGAGAAAGTATTTTTAATAGATTTTATTTTAATATAGTATTGATTCAGCAATTTTAATTAAAAAAGTTTCTCTATTATGTAGTGTATTTTTACTACAAACAATCCTATTGGCTAATTTTTCAACTTCTAAAATTCTTTGATTTTAAAAACCAACTTTTTTGCTTCTATAATTAAAAAAAACAACAGGTATTTTGAAAATATATAACTACATAAGTCAATTCTTCAAGTAAAGGCTATTTTAATATAACTTTTTCCTTCTCTTTCTCACAGTAATGTTATGAATTTTTCTTTAATAAACATGTACTGTACATCTTTATACTGTATATTTTACATACTGTTATATATAGTAACAAAACTGATATCTGTTTTTCTGACTCAATAGATACTATTATGTATACGATTCTCTTGTAAAGTAAAAACTAACTTATAAAATTACATAACGGATCAATCTTAAATGAATATTTTTATATTATCATCATCAGTCAACTATTTATTGATTCTCTAATAAAATGTTTATCAAGCAGATATAATTTCCATGTTCAATTAGTTTACTTNAATATAGTTATTCGGAAGAATAACTATATCAACTTACGTTGGTTTGCATAAGAATCTTGAAGTTGATTTTCTAGTATATACAGTTTATATTCCTGGAACTTTATTATTTAACAAAATGGTTTACAGATTTAGCAAAAAATTTTTCTAATTATAATTTCTAAAATATCTCTAATCAACAAACAGTTGTTTTATATTCTGTAAGAAAATTTCTCTACAATAATAAAATTTCTTTATGATTTCCAAATCATTATTTAAAACTAATGAAATAGACTTAAGATGATTATTGGTTTCAACAGTTCTATTATTATTTTCCAATTAGAAATTTTAGGAATGAAATATATGGAAATTAAGTCTTATGATTTTTGTCAATGTTTTTAAAAATTAAATCTCAAAAAGAAAGTTTTTATTTAATTGTGTTTTAGTATATCATTCACTAGTAAGCTATTTTTACCTTTGGTTTTGGATTTAGGCTTAGACTCAGGCTCAGGTTCAGGCTTTTCTGTTTTCTTCTCCTCTGTTTCTTCTTCTGGAATATCAAAAGGAACAGCATCACTTTCAACCGTTGCCATTTTAATTATTTATCTGAAAATAACAATAGACATATATTGGTTTCTCTGTTTCATAAAATATAAAATTATAAAAAAAATATATATATATAACAACTTATATTAAAATTTTCAAAATAATAAAAGAATTATTATATAAATTACATGATAAAATACGGAGCAAATGTAAAAGCTAATATGTAAATGTCAAAAATAAAAAATGGGAATTTTTAGTGTAAAAGTGTTGATTCAATGTAATGTAATAGTTGTATTTGTTAAAATTTACTACACTGCTTATATAGGCAAAAAACAATATTCTAATATTAAATGTAAAAACTTGTAAAAAATAGTTAACTTTATAATTTCCTATAAATTTTAATTATTAAGATTAAAATTAACATAACTTTAAAAAAAGGAAAGAATGTACATCAAGGTATGTTGTAAATTTTAAGACCATTTTAATAATATTGTAGTATTTACAATTGTATATTTTTAGCCAACAGAAGAGGGGAGTTTATACAAAAAATGCATCTTGGCAATAAATATAATCTATGTATGTAAATGAGGATGTTTGTTTATTTGCTATGCATACCCAATAATTTTTCTATAAATACAATACTGTGGGTGATCGGTTAACGAACATAATCCGTTCCAAGACTTTGTTCGCTATCCGAATTGTTCTTTAACTGATTATCGATTTACTATAGTTTGTATGGAAATTTGATTAATTCGTTCTGGAGACCCCAAAAAATAAAAAATATATACTTTCTTACTATGTTTATTTATATGTAATAATAAAAATACATATATACATGGTCTTGCATTTTTATTACTCATGTTTTTTTGTTTGTGGGGGTTAAAGAATTTGTCTAATGTCGATTGCTTTTCTCTCTTCTTCAGGATTTTCAGAATTAATAGTATTGTAATTGTAGAGATCCCCCAAGCCTATTAACCTCAACCTGGTTTGTATGCCATTCTAAGACCGTTGATCTGACATCCCCCACTTCTTCAAAAGATCTTTAATTAATAGCAGATATCTTTTTCATAATAAAACATATCTCGCCAAGTTTCTTGGTGTTCTTCTGTTGTCAGATCCATTTCAAGTTCCATTATGAGCTCTTCAATGTTCTTTATTTCTCAGATGTGATATTTGTTACTCCTTTAGCTGCCTGAGTTTTCTTAATTATACTGTATCTTTCTTAGATAAGATTGAACTGCATCCTAGTGCCCAGCAACATCAGACATCTTCTACCCACTCTCTACCTTTGCTATTATACTCTCACCTTTCGAAAATAAAACTCGACGCAAAACTTAACGAGTGCCCGCCTGACAGTCTCACGAATACTATAAAAGAATTGTTTGTCAGAAAAATAAAAGACTGGAATTACAAGGAAGTATTTCAAAGTTCGAGGAATACTATCTGATCAGTATCTTTTGGTTGAATTACTTCAAACCCCTTCCACAACCTTCTTTCTATTAGACAAGCACGAGCAGTCTGATAGCATTCCAGTCGGGTTGAGCGTCAACGTTGACATCTCCCGCGCTCCAAAAAGTTACCTGAAGACAAAGGAAAATAAATCAGTATTTGCTATTTCCGTCACTTCTTTTTATGTTTGTTCAGTGAAGTGTTTGTTATCCGATCATGTGTTCATTGTCCGATCATAAAAATCTTTTGCGAAAGTGTTCATTACCGATTTGTTCATTAACTGATCTGTTCGTTAACCGATCACTCACTGTATTTACAAAAACAAACATACTTCCCACATAGCTGCCACAATCTGTTGCCAAAATTTAAACACTATCATCACATAAAAGGAACTATTCTAGCATTTTTACAAGATGTTTTTTTATTTAAACAAGTTTTAAATGAAGTCTTTCAGACATTAAGGATAGCAAGTTTGATCATATGCGGGGCCATCACAAGCTATCCAACACAGATCATTTTTTAAATATTAAATAGTAAATCAGTATTAATTAGTAGTAGTTGAGCATCCTCTCTTCCATGAGGAGGTCAATGACTACTTTTGGTTGAATTACTTCAAACCCCTTCCACAACCTTCTTTCTATTAGACAAGCACGAGCAGTCTGATAGCATTCCAATAAGAAAACTACACAATACAAAGTTACTGGCAAATGCGCAAAATATGACTTAAATGGTTTTTGAGGATGCCAGTTTAATTTAAATATTTGGTCTGTTTTTTTCCAAAATTTGATATTTGGCTGTGATAGTACAGTTTCATAGAGTTCACATTAGAAAATATTATGATATCTGAAAATTTAAGATATATTTTCAAGACCTGTCTACTTGACCATTGAATTTGTGCCATTTTGTACCACCTGAGTATTGTGATAAACATGACAATGGTAGACTAAATTGTTAAGAATTTGTATTACAATTAGATATGTAAGCTGATTTGCATATTACAATGCTTGAAACTAAACAATATTCTATTTAAGTCATGAAATGAGTGCCTGTCCGGATAAATATGTAACAGTTTTTTTGTACAAAATTTTCAAAAATATTATTTTCAGTGACAAAATGTTATTGTGTGATTACAATTCTTATTTTGCAGTGTGGAAACATGTAAATCCATGTTATTTTTAATAAAATATTTGTTGCTTAATGCAGCAAATTTGGGTTTCACTTTAATTTTTTCATGTCCGAATAAATTTGAAACACACCTTATATCTTTTGGTATCTGTGTTTATTTATATACAAAATATATCTTCCTCCAGTAATGTAACAAATTATTTGTTATATGGTTGTATACAGCAAAATTTAACTAAACTGAAAAACTTAATATTTCATCTCTTAAAGAACACATTAAAATTTGTTTTGTAATGAAATATAAAATAACCAGGGCTGTGGAGTCGGATAAAAATCTACCGACACCAACTTTTCCTTACCATCCAACTCCAACCAGGGGTGGACTTATTACCAAAAGAGACATGGAAATTCTGATGTCATCACGTGACCTCAGAATAAAAGATTCAATAAATAGTGTTCTAATAAAGACAGAATGTAGAAACTTTATTTCAAAGCTAAAAGACTCCTCTAAGTAATGACACAGTTAACATATAAATATGTATTCATATAATTTTTACTGTTATATATAACAGAGAGAAGTGTAGCACTCGGTCAAAAAATGACCCCTCCCAAATTGTTACATTTTTGGACTCAGGACACTTGAAGGATTTTGAAATTTCGAGATATGCAAAAGATTCGAGATTTTTTCTACATGTGTGGATGCAAAAGATTCGAGATTTTTTTCTGTATGTGTATGGGGGGACATGATTTTGTTCACCCTGTTTGAAGCCTAATAAGTTCGGTGGTTTTTAAATCAGAGTCAGATGGTTTAACACAGGAGTTAGTTATTAAGCGTCAAAATGGTTGAACTAAATTGTGTCCCCATACACATTCTAACATCTTAACAGGTTTTACTGTACTATTATAAAATGACAAAAAGCTTACTTTGAGAGTAGAAACGAGTTTTATTCCTTTTCAAATTTCGAATGCTAATAACAAGTAAAATATTCATTAAGAGATATGACACATGACCCTTTTTATGTCTTCACCTTGTCGACCTTTCATTAAGAACCAAAATTTAATAGTACAGTGGGTGATCGGTTAACGAACATAATCCGTTCCAAGACTTTGTTCGCTATCCGAATTGTTCGTTAACCGATTATCGATTTACCATAGGTTTCTATGGAAATTTGATTAATTGGTTCTGGAGACCCCCCAAAATAAAAAAATATATACTTTCTTGCTATCTTTATTTATATGTATTGATGATAATAAAAATACATAGTCTTGCGTTTTTATTAGTCGTGTTTTTTTTCTGTTTGAAAGGGTTAAAGAATCTGTCTAATGTCAATTGCTTTTCTCTCTTCTTCAGGATTTTTCGTAAGTAATTAATAGCATTGTAATTGCAGAAATCCCCAAGCCTTAACCTGGTTTGGATGCCATTCCAAGACCGTTGTTCTGACATCCTCCCACTTCTTCAAAGGATTTTTAATATAAGATATCAGCATTAATCCTCTTTTTCAGAAGAAAACATATCTCGCCGAGTTTCTTGGTGTTCTTCATTCAAGAGTTCTTGGCGTTCTTCTGTCGTCAGATCCATTTCGTGTTCCATTATGAACTGTTCGATATTCTTTATTTCTCAGATGTGATTTTTGTTACTCCTTTAGCTGCTTGAGTCTTCTTGATTATACAGTATGTTTCTTAAATAAGATTGAACTTCAGCCTACTGTAGACCTGTTTACGCCATACTGCCCAGCAACATTAGGCATCTTCTGCCCACTCTCTACCTTTGCTATTATACTCTCACCTTTCGAAAAGAAAAACAGATGCAAAACTTAACGAGTGCCTACCCGACAGTCTCACGAATACATAAAATAATTGTTTTGTCAGAAAAATAAAAGGCTGAAATTACAAGGAAGAGTTTCAAAGTTCAGAGGAATAATATCCGATCGGTATATATCGGCTTGAGCGTCGATGTCAACGTCTCCCACACTCCGAAAAGTTTCGAATTGTTGCCCGAAGACAAGGGAAGACCAATCGGTATTCATTAATTTACGTCGCTTCTTCTTGTGTTTGTTCTGTGGGGTGTTTGTTATCCGATCATGTGTTCGTTGTCCGAACATAAAAATCTTTCGCGAAAGTGTTCGTTGTCCGAACATAAAAATCTTTCGCGAAAGTGTTCGTTATCCGATTTGTTCGTTGTCCGAACATAAAAATCTTTCGCGAAAGTGTTCGTTATCCGATTTGTTCGTTATGCGATCTGTTCATTAACCGATCACCCACTATATTAATGCCCTTTTATATGCAAGCTACAATGCCACATTTCATTTCTTAAACTTCACCCATTCTGAGATATTGTTTAATATCTCAGAATAGAAAATAAAGAAATTAAACAAATTAGACGGCAACACACACATGCACACGAATTTTTCCCCTTTTATTGGCTTTTTTGGGGGTATGGGAGGTCTCCAAACGTATAAACTTGCAAAAAAAACTTGGAGGGTCAAATTTGGCATGATTCCAATACTTTTTTGTTTTATATACGAGGGGTGTTCAAATGAAAGTGATTCGAGGTGTGTAACCATGAGATGCATAGGAACAGAAATGAGACAGATACATAGATAGAAAAAACAATATTTAATGAGTGAAATGAATACAAAGTTTGTTAAAAGAAATCACCCATGGCATTTAGGCAGGCATCCCATTGCTTACGAAAGTTACAAATTCTGTCCGCGGGGTATCCATTGGCAACAAACTTTTCGATACTTCAGAATGTTGGTGACAATATTGTGAACAATACCAATGGAAACGTTTAACTCATTTGCGACGTCACAAATGTTTCGACGTCGATTTCCCTTGATTGCAGTGTCAATGTCCATAATCAGCTTCTCTGTCACAACTTTGTGTGCCTGACTGGGCCGCAGCAAATCCCTTGTCTCGTGTCAACCGTCGCTAAACATTCTTGCCCACCTCGTCACTGTGGGCTTCAACACACACGTCACCGTACACAGCCAGCATTCTGCGATGAATATCCACCGGCTTACACCCTTCCAGTGTTAAAGTCACACCTTGTCCTATATGCGAGGTTGTCTTATATTCAAGTAAATACGGTATTTCACTGAGTACCGAATACCAAATAGTCAACCACACTACTCAATATTGACCAAACGTTTGCTCAGCATTCAGCAAATGCCAAAAGCATTGTGCAACCTTAACATTTACATGCCATTTGTAAATATATATATTTACAAATATATATACTAGCAGGTAGGCCTGGCATTGCTCAGGCAAAAGTAACGATAACTAAGATTAAGATTCAATTTCTGTAATTACTCAGGATATACTTCTTCTTAATTGAAGTTCAGATTAAGATTATTACAGTCAACCTTACCCGTTTTCACAGAATGCAAGAATTGGGTCCCCTTGTTTCCAGACTAATTAGAGAATTTTTACATGGTTTTAAAAATGTGTTTGATTTTCTGCAAAAACAAAAAAAACTGCATCTGCGTCTTGCACGTCGCTTTCTCTTAACAATTCCATTGTTGACACTTCCATTGTTACTTAAAACTTCCATTGTTACTTAACACTTCCATTGTTGATGGAAGTGTTTAGCCTTAATCCTGTCCCTCTCCCCTGCAAGGGGAAATTTCAAAAAATCCCTTCTTAGTGTGAGTTTTCGTGACGTATCCTAACTGTGTATCAAATTTCAACTTTCTACTCCTAACCATTTGGGCTCTGCACTTATTATCATTATCAACCTGTCTCAATTATATATTAGATTTGTAAATATTTATCTGTGTTGTTTAATAATATCCTGATGTGTTTAGTATGGCAACTTTCTGTAACACACATGCTGTCACAAAGCCCTAATGTTTCTGGATTTTTGTGTGGAATGTGTGGGATGTGATACATATGCAAGAGAGTGCTATTGGTACAATATATACTTTATCCATTCTTTACATATGCTTATTTCATGTGCCAATTCTGCATATTAATTTTTTCAGTATATGTATTTTATACACTCATTGCCATAAAAATTAGCACACCAAGTTGTAGTATTGCTGAGAAATTTGGCATGCAGATAAATCTCAAGCAGATATGTAAATGATTAGAGTTATAGCATGCTGATTGTATAATGCCAGCAGAGGACATTAAATTGCATCTCTTTCATCTATAAAAATGTGCACAAAGGCACCCTGTCTGTAGTTATCCTGTTGCAGAGGTACACTGTATCAGTAGAGATGCTTTTATATCACAGTCAAAGCCCATATGAATAACTAACAGAGTTTGAGAGGGGAAGGATCATCAGGCTGAGAAAAGCCAAATGGTCATCTTGCCAAATAGCCTGCACTACCTAGGCTGTTCTGATAACACTGAGATGTTGGGACCAGTGGACAAGAGAAAGCTTGCACACAGTGTGCAGAGGCTCAGAATGCTCTTAGCAAACCAGCTGGAAGGACTGTCTAGTTCTCTGACAAGTACACATGCACACACAGTTGACCATATCATTGTCTGCCATCATTACAGATGTCTGTCCATACCATTTTGAGAACCTGAGTGCATTTGGTACATTTGGTATTGCAGTGGCTATTATGTGTGCTGCCAGTGACAGCCACTCACTCTCACCTCCGTCTGGTGTCGCTCCTGATGGGATTGATTGCAATTAGTGATGTAACGAATATTCGGTTACTATTCGGTATTTGGCCTATTCATCCGAATACTGAATATTTAATCACTATTCGGCCAAATACTGAATACCTAAAAACAGGAGTAAGAAATAACAAAAACACAGTAAATTAATCATTGTGGTATTTAGATTTAATGTTATCGGGTTAATGTTGTTCGTTTATATTTATTTATAACTTGTAACATGCAGAAAATAAAAAAGAAAATAATATTAGTCACATGTATACACAATTTATAATTACAAAGATCAGCACACGTACACACGTACACATCTATTCGTTCGAGAATTGTCGCACATCTGATGGTCTGGCCCTGCCTATCCTTCTTTTTAAGCGCTCGTCTTTGCTCTTCCCTTTCTCTTTCCTCTATTGTTCTAGTCCACGTACACTGCGGCCAAGGTGGCAGCCTACCGCTCTGGGGGATCCGAGTTCAAATCCGAACGGATCAAAAAATCCCCAGGAATTTTTCGGGGGTGGTCCATTCGGATATGTCAGGCCCCGTCCCTCACCACCGGCAGCCCCATTGTGGGCCTGGCCGAACCCATAATGGCCTTGCAAAAAGAGCCGTCCTAGTGCCCACAGGGTGGAAAGAGTGAAAAGAAAAAAAGTATAACTATGCATACTTCGTAATACGTGCTCACGATACTTTCAATTCGTCACTTTTCCGTCGTAGATTTCCCATTTTACAATTATGTGACTCATAGCCTGGTGATAACGGAGAAAAGAGACAGATAGAACGTCAGTATAAGTCACAGTTATGATTTCACATATTCAAGACAGCTTGGTAGCTCGAACGGCCTCAGGCTTTCGCCCGTGCACACTAAGTGACTTTCATTACAAGCATTTAGCTTTCTGAAGTCTATGACTACAATTGTTTGGCATTGACGGCCGCAAATTTCACGCCAATAAGCTGCCTCGACTTGTTTGATTATGTTATCAACTCGATTTCATATTTATTTTCATATTTTCACTTCGCGGTCCTTCTCTCTTCTTTTTCCGTTATTTACATGTGTAGGTCATTTCATTGTTATCCACATTTGATATCATAACTTATCATATACTGCCATGATGCTCATGTCTATCCGCTACAACTGTCAAGAATTAACACGATTGTCAAATTGTAGTGATAGCAGGCCAATAGAGAGCAGGGTCCTTGCCATAATGCAGTTTGCATACCAATTTTCGTACGTGCGTTAATCAAGCCGAATAGTTTGGTCGAATATACTATTCGTTGCAACACTAATTGCAATGGAATGGAACTGTTTGTGTCTGAAGGCAATGTGGTGAATTTCTCAATTCTGCCCCCACAGCTGGAGTGATGGTGCCATCACATACAACAGCCAATCACCTCTAATAGTGATACTTCTGGGCTATCATGATCCCTTGTATGTTAGCAATATCCTGCAGTCACATTTGTTGCTTCTTGTGGTAGGGATCCCAAGAGCCATTTTCCAACAGGACAATGCTCGATCATACACAGCAAGGGTGTCACAGGACTGCCTACCACATTGCCACACTTCCCCGGCTTGCCCAGTCCCCCAATTTGTCATCGATCAAACATGTCCGGAATCACCTAGGATGCAAAACTACACAGCCTAGGAGTTTGGCCAAACTAGGACTGCTTGCAGCAACTGTAGACCGACATGCCTCAGAACACCATAAGAACCCATATGCCTCCACACCTGCCCGTATCACACTGCGTATTTAAGCTAGATGTGGCACAATAGGGTGACCAGACATCCCTGGTTTTGCCCATTTTTAATATTTAATTGTAAAAATCAATATTCGAATAGAGCAATTTTATTAACACATCAATATAATATCACAAATTTATAGATCAATAAGTAAATAAATTTCAAAAAATAACTAAAGTTCAATCAGTTTTAGACCCCATTTTTTCCGATTCCAAAGCATGTCCCCGGTTGGATTGTAAATGTTACAGCCAGCTTAACTAGAACCTCCTTTCGTTTGAAGTTTTTCCTGCAGTGATACTTTTGCTTTAATTTTGTAATTATTTACTTATATCACCCTTACACTCACACATGTGCAATTTTGTTCCATTCCGACAACTCCTTGTGCTAATTTTTCTGTCAACGAGTGTATTTTTTGGGTATTGGAACTCTGCTGTATGTGATTTTTTTTTTTTTGTTTGTTTATCATCATCATTTGTACATGTAACTACGCAAGAAAGGATGACATCAAGTTTAGGCTTTATTTAGAGGAGAAATATTTAAACTTTTTAAAGGGACGTCTACTTCCGGTTCAACATGGCGACAAACAACGATAAAATTATGTTATTAATTAACGACTTTTTATATAATTATCGCCATTCTCTCGAGCTAATGGCCAAATATATGAATATTTGATCACAATATCAGTCTACGAAAATATTTAAACGTGTATACAGGTATTCATATATAATCGCAAGATAAATAAAATTTTTCACCAATACATTACGCTGATATCGAGTAAATATTCTGACAATTAAAAAAATAGAAACTTGACGGCGAAAATATGTTTTATTTTAAATTTTTATATTTTAAATTTAGCTTGTATTCCGCCTTTAATCAAAGAAAAATATAAAATATATAGTAATACACTTACTTGTTAAAATATAAATCCGTTTAAAAGTATAAGAATGTATAATAATCAGCCCCAAAACAAAACGAAACCTTCTGTTACCACTCTGAATCAAGTTTATGTGACGACATCAGCGATGTCAAACATTTCTCCACGTGATTCCAGAGGCGTTAACCAATCAACGCGCTGATATTCTCAATTTCCCCGAAAGAATACGTCATGCGTGATGTATGACATATGGTACAGTACGATTAGGTATTTGCCACGATTTTTATTGGACGAACAAAGTGGCGTAACCATACTGTTTTGCTCACAGGGAGCGCTGCGGTTAGGAGTTAGACGGGTATGGAACGGCAGTTCCAAGGTCACGGTATAGATTTCGTGCCGTAAACTGCACGTTCCTTCGACAGAATTCATTTTATAATTTCAAATAGAGTATTTTTTTTTTTCATTTAGAAGTTACTCTTGACACATAAGTAATGTCTTTTAGTATGTTTCAAAATAAGAAGTTATATCAACGGTACGAATAATAAAGTATTTTGAAAGAATTATTTATTTTTGAAATGCAAAATTAGAGAAAAAGTTTGGAGATATTCCTTAAGATAAGAATATATTTAGTTTATATGTATACAGTATATATATATATATCAAAATCACTTTTACATTACACAAATTGCAAACAGGAGCTCAGATTAAACATTTTTATAAATTAAAATTAGATGGAGAGAAAAGAAAACAATTCTCACAAACTTTACGTATTATGTAAAGTAAACCTTCGAAAGTACTTGCAAGAGATAATAACTTTCTTATGCATATAACTATTTGTCATTAATAAATTTAGTTTATGTTTAAGACGACATAAAATTGCAAGATTAATTTTTATTTTTTACATAAAAAGTTACTTAAAAACCTTAGAATTGTTTATCTGTCTTTTAAGGTCTTCATTACTTTAAAAATGCACGCATTTTTCTCTCTCCAAAAATAATGTTTTTTTTTTTTTTTTTTTTTTTTTTTTTTTTTTTTTTTTTTTTTTTTTTTTTTTTTTTTTTTTTTTTTTTTTTTTTTTTTTTTTTTTTTTTTTTTTTTTTTTTTTTTTTTTTTTTTTTTTTTTTTTTTTTTTTTTTTTTTTTTTTTTTTTTTTTTTTTTTTTTTTTTTTTTTTTTTTTTTTTTTTTTTTTTTTTTTTTTTTTTTTTTTTTTTTTTTTTTTTTTTTTTTTTTTTTTTTTTTTTTTTTTTTTTTTTTTTTTTTTTTTTTTTTTTTTTTTTTTTTTTTTTTTTTTTTTTTTTTTTTTTTTTTTTTTTTTTTTTTTTTTTTTTTTTTTTTTTTTTTTTTTTTTTTTTTTTTTTTTTTTTTTTTTTTTTTTTTTTTTTTTTTTTTTTTTTTTTTTTTNCGCTTTTTTTTTTTTTTTTCTTTTAGCATTAAAAATTGGTTAATGATTTTCTAAATAAAAATTCAGAAGCTTCTGCAAAATATAATTTCTCGATAAATTCACAAAAAATATCTTAAATTGTTACGAAATAATATCGATTCGCTAATAATTAATACAATTAATTTATAGAAATAAAATTTTCATGTAAAATCGTTTATGAAAGCTTAAGTTAAGTGGGAAAGTATGGAAACATTTTTACATTTTTGGATTCGGGAGCTTAAAAACATCGAGAAATGCAAAAAAATTTTGGGGGTGTTTCTGTGTGTATAAATGTTAGCCAGTGCAGGATTAAGCCACTAGTGAACTTTGTGTAAAATTTAAATTGGGGTCCCATTTAAATAAATTGCTTCTAAAAAATCTTAAATAATGTCACTTAAAATGCTTAATTATAATAGAGAATACAAACACTAATACAATAATAATTAGGCTGCAATTTGAAAACCTATTAATTCCCACTGTCTTCCGTCCGTCCGTCTATCGTTCCTTAATGTCGAGAATGAAGTTAGATAAATGAAAGACAGCAGGCCCGATTAACTATATACGAACTTCCGATGCAAACCGGAGGTCGTATTATTTGAATTCAAAAATCGTTCCCCGAAAAGTGTTAGATAGATGACGGGCAAGGCTGTATTGTTAAAGGAAAAGTATGATATACAGGATCTGCAAGCCATTATTAATTTGAAGTGGAGAGCATATTTTTAATTAAATAAATTGAAAATGTTAAAATTTGTAGCCCGGCATTGTGACGAAGTCACAATAAATAATTGCTCATATTTTCAATTTACTTACTTTGTTGCAGATGCAAAAGAAAATATAAAACTGGGGCCTTCAGTGTGTTTGAAACCTCCCTCTAACACCTTAAAATACAGTAATTGAAATTTAAATACTATACTGTAATTACAAAATTACAGTAACTTTAAAACGCATAAAAAACAAAATTAATAAATTATATAATGCACTTGAAATATTCTAATTTAAATTTTAACAATTAAATAATACCATTCTAACAATTGTTTTGACAGTTATTGTTAAACAATTCTTATCGAAGACAATGAAGCTGGATGAAGATTGTTAGAAGCTTCATTTGGCGATTATTTTGGAATGCAATTTCGAACTTCAGAAGACAGAACAGTTTCGATTGTAGAATTTCGAATGACAGTCGAGTTCCCGGGATCATGCCTTAATCTATACTAATATTATAAAGAGGTAATGTTTGTATGTAAGTAAGTTTGGATGCAGCAGGTAATCTCCAAAACTACTCATCCGATTTCAAAAATTTTTTCACCAATATTTAGAATGGAACTTCAAAGTGGACATAGGCTGTATATTATTCCGTTAAANTCGCACAGACAAATGAGACAAATGTCTAGGGCCCGGTTTTTAAAAGGGCCCGGTTAATTTTGAAAGATATTGATGAAATTTTTAAAATTCTTCATACGAACATAACTGACGGCGACGACGAGGACGTATCAATTAATACTGCATTGCTAAAAAAATGGTACAGTGGCGATATTGATACAGAAGAATTGGACAAGGAATTGTTGCAATTTAAATTAATTTGCAAAAGCCAAAAATTAAGATTGTATAAAGAGCACAAAACTAGTATCAACATTCCCAAATATAGAAATATTATTGCGAATATATTTAACTTTGTCTATATTAAATGCATCTGGTGAAAGGTCATTCTCAGTATTAAAACGTGTAAAAAATTACGAAACTCACTGAGTGAATCAGAATTAAATTCTTTAGCTTTTTATACATCGAACAAAATGCATTGGATGATATTAATTATGATAAAATAATTGATAATTTTGCTGAATTAAAGACTAGAAAACNAATAGGGTACGTCAACAGAATGTACACTAAGAAGGGATTTTTCGATATTCCCCCCGGGGGGAGAGGGACAGGATTAAGGCTTACTGTGAAGAACTACACTTCTATTATACTATTTTAGATGCGATTTTTGCGTTTTTGATTGCATTTTAATAGAGTACGTCAACAGAATGTACACAAAGAAGGGATTTTTCGATATTCTCCCCGGGGGGGAGAGGGACAGGATTACGGCTTACTGTGAAAAACTTGGCTTCTATTATACTATTTTAGATGCGGGTTATTGCGCTTTTGATTGCGTTTTAATAGGGTACGTCAAGAGAATGTACACTAAGAAAAAATTTTTCGAAATTTCCCCCACGGGGGAAGTGTTAGGGTAAACTTGCCTAATTCGTACCACTTCAGGAAAAACCATTATATTATCGAAATTAATAAACATAAATTATTTTTTATTTTAAGTAATTTTTATTTGGGAAATATTTTATCACTACCATAATCAAATTTAGCATAAATCTTATAAACTTCTGAGAAATAAACAATTTAAAAAAACACTAAAAAAGTACGATTTAGGAACATTCGTCTTAAATCGTACCGATATATTCTTAAATCGTACTTTGAGATCCTATCATTGGTTTGCAGTCTTAAGAATAAAAATCTTTATCAATAATGTA